GGTGCGGGGCAAGATACTCCAGGGAATGGCGAAGGTTCGAGGGATATGGGATGACGGGACTGAGTATCGACAGGATAGCGATTGGCGCGGGCTTATCTTTGCGTTGCCACGGGGATGAGGCAGCATCGTTATCATCATCGCCGCCAGTAACGTCATGGGCTTCACTGCGGCTGCGAGAGTGAGACTTTTGTTCCAAGACGGTTGTATCAAGCTTGAAGGGATGGACAGGCTTTGAGAGCAGTAGATGCGTCAACGGGATGTGAAGGACGGTCCATGCGTTGTCCACGCCAATAGCTTCAGGAGGTCGCATTCCTGTGTAGTCTGCCGGTGCAGACTCGGGGTTGAAAGAATCCTCATCGACCATGGCATCAGTGAAGAAGGGGTTCTCGTTCGGATCTGCCCGCACGGCCGGAGACGGCGCCGGGGACTGGGACCAGGGCGATGGTGGTGCCTGTTCAAACTCCTCGTATTTTGGGGTGGGTGGACGTGGCTCGTCCTCGGAAAGTCGCGAGATTATACTAGATGGCTTGTCACCGCTGTGACTACGGCTAGAGCTCCAGGAGGCACTTGAACCACTCAAAATCGTCGACAACTTCTGAGTAGACTCGATCCGGCCCCTTTTCAGCTTTTTCCTTGCTGCCTCAGCCGAGGTCGTGTTAGCTGTCACCTTTGACTTGACTGGCGTCTCTTCTGGCAAGTTCTGAAGGTAGGGGTAACTTCTTGTCAGTGCGATGACCTTGCCTCGTTCAAGAACACGCATGACACCGCCGTGGTCGATAAGAGGATCAGCCTCATAATCCAGAGCTTGAAGCACAGGAAGCACTCTGCCCTCTGTATCAGAGTGAGCGCCGGTTGGAGCCTCCCAGCTCGGTACGTTCTGCTCTTCAGCGTCATGCTCAGCAAGAGCAGATTGGTTCAAAGCTGGTCCAAGTGGCTCTTGAGCAACGTCCTCGGTCGCCTTGCCGGGCGGGAAGTAGCTCTTACTTCTGCCCAGTTGCGCAGGACGGCGTGAGGGCAACAGTCTCTCATTGCTATTTCCTTTTCGTTCCCTATTCTCCTCGTATGTCGTGAATGAGTGCCGAGTTTGGAGACTAGGTCGAGATAACATTCTGGGTCGTGCCGCATCTTCGGGTAAAGGAGGCTCTTCCGAGCCAATATCGCCGGCGCTACTGGGTATCAAACTGCTTCCCCTTGCCATGTATCCAAGGCTGAGATCGTCCTCCTGGTGCTCGTTATATGTTGCCTTTTGGCCCCAGGGCACGTTCTCGATATCGGTGGTGTCAGCTGGAACAGCAAGTGTGACTCTCTCGGCTTTGTACACATCTCTCATGATTTGCACGACGGTGTTCCACCACGCGTCCATTCCAGGCTCGGCGTTGAGCATCAGCGACAGATCATAGAGGTTTGGACTTGGGAAATCGCCCTCCAGTTGGCCAGTGGCTCCGGCGGGGAGAAAAGTAAGTGCCGATGCTGGTGTCGATGAGCCGGACATGACCCTATCTTGAGCGGCGCCAAAACCTTCGAAAGACATACCCTGCGCCATGAAAGCGGCCGCAGTTGGGGACATGTTTCCGAATGGTCGATTCATCGCGGCCGGGCCGTACCCCGGCGTATACATGCGCGGGAAGGGATAAGAAGGAGTTCCCGCGACATTACCGGGCGTCATGCCGCCACGAATAGTGTTGCCGGACTCGGTTGACGTCGTCGTTAGATTGGACGATGTCGTTGCCAAGCCCGCGATTCCAGCCTGTGTGCGCGGCGAATTGCCACTTTCCTCCTGGATTGGTGAGACGCGCACCTTGTCGGGGGTTGTCGCCATCAAGCCTCTCGTCGCCATCTCGCGCTTCTCCAGGTCTCGTGCCAATCGCTCTCGATATCGATTTAGTTGGATCTGGGATTCAGAAAGGGCCGGTGGCGTGTCGTCGTCGGTCACTGCAGCATTCTCAGTTTTACTTTTTGATTCCTTGCCGCCCATGCCACCGGTAACGTCATCATCAGCCCTGGACACACCCACGCTGCGCTTTAGGTTAGTATCCGGACCAGCACCGCCAGGACTCGCAGCCTTGGTGAGGAAGGGTTCGGTTTGCGCCCTGGAGCGGTCGCTGGGCGACTTTGAAGACTGCTCCTTGGACACATCCGACATTGCGGCTCGCGCATTTCTACCAGACTTTAGAGAATCGAGGGTCAGTCCATGGCGGGGACTCGGAAGGTTGACGGGCGATTCTTTGGTAGGCGATTTTTTCGAATCGGGCGTCGTTCGTCTTGGAAGGCTAAGCCGACGCGCAGAGGACGAGTCTTTCTTGTCTACTGGAAGGCTCGTGCTTGGCATTCCTCATAGAACAGAGCGCCCCATACACAAAGATGGTGAAGTTTTGGTCGGGATTGGTGATGTCGCTTCGAGAAGTTGTCCGGCCGAGTCGTGACGTACAGTGATGGCGAATCAACGTGTCGTGGCAAAGTCGAAAGAGGAGGTGGACAACGAGGGGTCGGTCGCGGTATTTTGAAGTGGGAGAGGGGGAAAGTCACGGCTGTGAGAGATTCGGTCGGCGGGATGCGGTGAGGCGAAGCAAGGTGACGATCTGGAAGTCGAAGGAAAATGCCGTAAGTAAGAGCGCGTGGTACAGTGGTGGAGGAAAGATTGCAACGGTCTGGTTTGTGTTGGTAACTCGTGGTGAAGGGTGAGGCAAGGTTAGGTTGGTGTGGGATGGTACGGATGGGATGTGCGTTTGGACTGAACTGAAAGAGGCATGGACTGGCAGAGAACGGGACTGGGACCAGGCCTACCTAGCAGGTCTTTTGGGACTGGGAATGGGGACAGGAGCAAGTATGCGTATCCGTCACGCCTATCGTGGTGTGTTGAGGGGCGTGTGCAATATTCCCTGCGCTGATATTCTCTCTCTTTCAGTTTCTGTCGGAATGGGTCTCCTCAGTCTCTCCTCTCTCTCTCTCTATCTCTCTCTTTCTCAAAAGTCTGCGTTGACGGCGGGCCTGACGGGAACGGTGACGGTGACGGTGACGGATGACGGAGAACACGAACAGGGGGGGCGGGGAGCGGGCAGAAGACTGGAGGAAGCGAAGCGAAGCGAGAAACGCAGCAAGAGGGCGTGGGAATTTGGGAAGGAGAGGCACAATGGACGAAAAGATCAAGAAAGGAAAGGGTGGACGGTCCACCGGGGGCCTATGACGTAGCCCCGGACCCAGCTGAGAAATCAGGTACCTGACGGGATGGGCCATCTCTGATTCCAACCACACGGCATGCGAAAGGCGGCGGCGGCGGCGGCGGCAACAAATCACAGGGCAGCCAGCTTCAGCTGTCCCGTCGCGGAGGGGGACTAACCACCAGTAAACCCTCGGCCGCCAGCGTCGTCAATGTCTCGGTCAACACTGTAGGTAAGCTGCTGGCTATTGGGATTGGAATCACCGGCCATTGCCTCCTATCCCGTTCATCAAATCAAGCTCTTTCGCAAGGTTCTTGGGCAGAAAATAGCTAATTACGGGCAGCCACCAAGCCAAAGGGAAAGAAGAAGAAAACACACAGGTCTGCCAACGGGTGCTTCCTTGGAAGACGACTGGTCTAGTGGGTCTGTCATTCCTGGACCTTTCAAGTACAGATACTCGGCGCCTTCATTCTCGAGGTACCTATCGTTCATCCCCAACCAGTGCTGTCCCAGCAGTCGCAACGTCAGCACCCGCTACTTCGAGGTATATAGAGTCGGGCGGGTGGAGGTACATGTACAGCTGGATGTACGTGCCCTGGCAAGATGTGGGGAGTCCTGCACCGATACGTGCCCCATTACATCACACGGGCGTGGCTGCCGCTGGCCCCCAAGCTCCACACGCGCGACATCCACTCAAATCTGCCTCTCCGTCTTCGTTAAACCCGTCTATCCTCGATTAATTGGTTCTGGAATCCCTTCCGTCTTGAACCCATCCGTTTCTTCAATGGCTGCTGGCCCTGGTTTGCCGCACAGGCGGACATTCACTCATGCCATCTCAACTGTTGGTGCGAATGTGCATCTGAGCACGCAACCAATTTTCTTCCCATCTTCTGTATTCCATCCCGGGATCCACCCCCAGACTACGCCGCAGTCCGCACCGCATCGCATAATGCCCCCTGGCAAACACGCGGCGGCTCACGGCTGGCGGCTCTGGGACTCTCGGAGCCAGAAGGCAGTGAGGCTCCGTCGGATTCTGTCCGCCGTTTCAATGGCAACTCCACGTCTCCCGTAACGGAACCCACCCGGCCGCTCACAAGGCCGGGTTTCCCATACCTGAACAGGGCCTATACCTTCGCCTCGCACACATGAGCCGCTACAGGACAACCACTAGTCGGCCTTGTTTTGACATGTCGAACGCTCCCCGGACCATGGTGTCTCCGTTCAAACTCCAAGGCAGCGGCAAGCTCATGACTCTGTGTTTTCTAAGCACCACCACCACCATCGTATGCGTACCCAGGTTGTAACGCGTTGGAGGTTGGCGGCACGTCCTAGACACGACACGGGACACGGATTCCCGCACCTCAACCCGGTATTCAGACGGAACTACCCAGGCAATCCGGCCCGATTTTAGATACCACGCGGCCATCAAAAAACTTCAGACTCGTGGTACACAACGTTGAGATTGACCATCATGCTCATGGCAACCCCCCTGCCGTCCCTCGAACTCCGGTACAGGCCGCAAACAAACCAACAAAGGCAGCCAGGGCACATCCCAATGCGCCGAGCTGGTGTCAACTCTAACCTGGTTTGCCCACAAAAAATTCAAAACGGCACGATGCAAGGTCGAACACAACTACAACGTCGTTGCAGCAAGTTCGCGACTCAGACGGCACCCAGGACAATCGAGTGCCAACAAGAGACGTGGAAGGAAAGTTGGGTTGCCAGGCACAGTATACTATCATGCAGCAGGCAACGCGAGACTCTGATCGAGTCACGGATGTGTCTCAATTACGAAGCGTCCGTTGACTCCATTAGGTACACGTACAATACCTCGGACCGCGCATGTTCTTCACTCGTCTGGTCTGCGCTCTGGTGACCGCCGCCGCTGTTCCGATTCAGGTGGTCAGAATCGAACTGTCACACGGTCGTCCGCGTTGGACTCCAGCACCCGTTTCCATCTACACAGCTACAATTCACGACAAGCTAGCATGGCAAGGTATGCTAGGCCACCTTTCGATTTGAGGGCGGTCAACTGACAGCTCCCGCCCCGGCTCCCCGCACTGTGATGGACCTAGTCGTTTAATTATTGGGCGACGCCATTTGGTTGTCGCGATTTAAGGCTTCACTCAGTTGACGATTCTGATCGAGTTTGTGGGGATTGATACACTCGTCTTGTTGATGAACTCCACCACACCAGGGCAAGAAATTGGGATATGCCCTGCCAAACGGTGAGTTGGAACGACGACACAATGATGTCTGCAGCCTCGCTTTGCAGAATTTCCCCACCTCTTCAACCCGTACCCAGCAATTTGGTATTACTGCGTTATTCACTTTCACTCTATTTGCTCATATTGACGAGCTGATGAGTGAAAACTGAACGTTTCTTACTCAGTTCCCCTTTACCCTGATCGTGGAACGGCGACCAGCCAAATGGAATGACTGATTGAGTCGCATTTGGCATCTTAGACCTCACTAACGCGCGGTCTACGGGGCATAACAAGCTTGTCAGGCCGTATCGGTGAACGCCATAGGCTTAGTTGCGACGGGGACGTGATCGTTAGTGGGTTAGCTAGATGGCACCTGTTCCAGAAAAGAATGTGGCCACTCCATTCTGGCTCTGCAGCCGGAGCGGGTGTCACGCCGCCAGGGCGCCGGTTATTCACTAACCTCTACTGAACAAGATGCGATTGCTTTGGATGTGGCTGGCCGCTGAACTCATCGAGGGGGGACGGCGTTGCTGCCGCGGCAAGGTTTCCGTCCATGTTTGATTCGCACAACTTAGACAGGCTTGTTTCCATTCAGTGTTTGTCTGTCTTGCATTTGCGCCAAATGCTCCCTTCCTTCCCCTTTCCCCCTTTCAGTTTTCTCTTGAAGGTTTCAATAGCAAGCAAGCAACCACTCACTTGCTCCTTCACACAGACGGAAGGTGTGCAATATCCGTTGGACAGCACGATTAGTCACGCGACCTGCCCTGCTTCCTTCTCTCCTTGAAGTCGGTAGCAAAGGCAAGATGCTCTACGCCGACGGCATGATGCAATATCGACACTTCTTGCCCTACCCAGAATCACCCCAGGAGAGACAGCGAGGTATGATGAGTGAATCTCAATTCTACCTTACAAACACAGCCAACGCCTCTTTCTCGACCCCGAATCCAGGTTGGACCCCTTATTTGTGCCTCCATGTACACAGAGAACAAGACAACATCCTACAGCATCAAGACAAACTCGTCGAGCTAACGGACGCTGCTCCGGATACAAGGGAGAGCTTCATGTACATGGACGAGGTACTCCAGACTCCGTACAAGAGAGCCAATTTCAAGCATATCGTGTTATCAGCAACCCACAAACCCCAGTGAAGGCCAGAATACAATTCGAAAAGAGAGTCAACTCTTGCTGTGCCTAGCTCACGTCTTGCGCAGGCGCGCTTCGCTCCAACAGGGCAGATTCGTCCTTTTCGACAACGCATGACCTTTCAGACCCCTGAAGCTTGTCTCTCACACGCTGAATGAGGATAAAATGACGTCAATATGCATTGTTAGCCAGGTGGCTTTCTCGATGGCGCCCTAACTGCAATGGGAATCCTGGTCCTGGAAGGCCGGGGAATGGGGACCTCCTCCCAGTCCCAGAGGCACAAATGTACCGCTGTACAAACAACCTACCGCAGTACAGGCACCACAGGCTACCGCATTGCGGCGGGTTGTTACAACTCTCCATCACCCAAGCCTCCTTTTCGCAGAACCCTATACGAAATCCCTTCGACACCTAGGCTACTTATTATATTGGCTCGTAATTGGCCAACTACACGGTCGATGCAATCAAAATCAAATGCGAGCTTGGCCTCATTCCCAGTCACATTGGTTCCACAAACCGAGTTCCGGGAGACCATCGTCCCAACATAAACATCACCGTGGACCTGACAGCTTCTTCTGCCCACCGCTTGAGCGCCTTGCTAGAAAGCAGACCATCGAGCCCCGGGCCCCCTCTCGCCTGTTCCAACGCTACTCTGTACCAAGGTCGCCGCCTATTCCCAGCTAGACACTGGTTTAGACGGCGAGATCTGTCAGTCGTGACTATTGTGGTAGGTATTCTCTGGGACTATCATGAGATTGACAGCGCTCTAGAAGCCTTCCTCTTCCGTCCAGCCCCGCCATGCGCGTTTCTGCCGCTATTGGGCGCCGATGCGTACTTCTCAGCATACGACCAAGCCAATCATCAAGGACACGACGCGACAACGCAGTTTCCTACCTATCTGCATTAGTTGACATGCAGGAGTCCGATATTAACCAGCCACGACGGCGCTCGTGCTATATTCTAGAGGGAGGTTGCGGCAGGCACGCATGCACATTACACACACATTATCTGTACCCCGGTACACGCAGCTCCCGTCTCCCGTCGCCCATCTCCCGCCTTCAGCGTGCCACGCGGGCATCTTCCTCCGGCTTTAGTCATCAGAGACCATCCCGTATACCACAGTGAACGCCAACCCAAACATCTGCGACCAAACGTTCAGATGGACGTGGGCAGCACGCTCGTCATTCCAGCTTGAACTTGGGATGAACTTTGACGGAAGCCACAAAAGTGGCGTACCAGATCTGAATTAAGGAAAGGGGAAAACGAGTTCAACTTGTCTTTCAACACGTTCCTGAGACCGCTGAATGGCGGGAGCAGCGGGAAGGCCATTTCTCGTTGCGAAACCCGCAGCGTTTGCCTTGATCTTCACTGTGACTTTCTTGTTCCTGTCCGCATGCCAAGGTTTTGCCATGTCAAAATTCAAGGCCCGGATCCGACAAGACGGCAGCATCGGCACCGGCAAATGCTTGAAAGCTGATCCCCGTTTTCCCACAAGCCACAAATTCCAGCCACGCTGGATGGCTGGATATCTCATCTCAGCTACGAACTCTCCAGACATCAACACATCGCGAGCTTCACTTTGGAAAATTGTCTACCGTACCTCCGCCTTGGTGGATCCCATGTTCTCGAGGGTTGAAGTTCAAATCCACAGGCAGTGGGTCCTGGGCGGCCGACTGGTGTTAGCGGGCTCATAGGATGGATGGAGCACGCCGCATGGCGCATGCTCAAGTCCGAAGTTGCTCAACACTTCACCCTCCTTGGAGCGTGGCGGCGATGGCGGATGGAACATCAACCAACCAATCAATCAGAATGCGCTGAAATTTCCTTCTATTGCCCCGAAAAGCCTCAAACGTGTCCCGAGTCGATGGATAGGGGCCCGGGAAAGGAGTTTTGCAGTCCTGCTAGCTAACGCTTTGTGGACAAGTTTTAGCCGCCCCCGGACGTTAGCGTCGACAGACGAAAGCTGAGACGGCAGATGAAAGTCCTTTCTCTGCCTTTCAAGACCTGAAGAGTACGGAGTACATAGACGTTATCGTCGATCTCGATGAAAGTACCAATTGGTTTCCACTTTGCATTTTGCCGGAGACAGTTCCATTCCCTAGTCTGAGAGGCTGGCTAGCTGCCCCCGATCCTATTCGATTAAGTTTCTGGTCTCAAGTCCCAGCTGTTTGGTCGCGTCTTCTGGACTTTTTTTGTGTCACTCGAAGACTCGGCCGAGCAGTAAGTGCTTTGATGGACTCTCCGCAAGAGACTTGTTGTTTTTGAGATTGACACAGGCTCTGTCAATGCCGTAGGACCGACTACTCTACCTTCCGCCTCGTCCTGGCCCAGTAATGATCCATGGCAAGTATGACCGTGGTTGACATGAATTACTTCGTACATACTAAGAGCCAACGTCAGGAGCAGGCTCCGGACCACCCATACACACGGGCCCACTGCAAGATAGTCTTGCCTCATCTACCCACTCCTCGAGTCCTTGTACGGATAAGGGGGGATTCCTTCTCGAGTCTTGACGGGTAATGCTTAGCCGTAGCGCCAGGATTGCCAACTGACAGATCCTATCCATAAGCACATGTATGATCCTCCTCTAGTGCCAGTTGAGAACCGGTTTCCTGAGAACCAGGACAGATGAGCTAGCTGTAGTGGGATATCTACAGCAATACTGCTTGGACTAGAACTACCTCCTATATTCAATGGCAGCACTAAGCCCATAGAAATACCTACATTGTGTTCGGATGCGCCGCGGCATTTCAGCCATATACCTCGACAATGTTTCCACTGAAACGGCGCGAAACGCCCCACTGGGCCCAATATCAGATTGGCAAAAGCGCAAAAACATACAACACCAGGTATTCGCTGGTCGTCACCGACCCAACTACTAATCCGGCCCTCATTGGCTTATCTATGGGAGAGCGGACGGGATCCCGAGTTTTCCAATGGGTATGGTCGTATGTGGTGGTTTGGTGATGCAGAGTTGATGATATCGTGGTTTCGAGAGTTTGGTGATGCTGGGGTTGCGGCTCTGCCGTCCGTCTCAAGAACACACTCGGATAGCTTTAGGAATCACTGCAACTCTTATACTGGTGTAAATGTTCTACATTCCAATGTCCCGGCTTTGTTTTCGGGTTTATGGTGTGGTGTTTTGGCGTTGTCAATTTGCCTCACATTTTCAGCCTCATTTGTTTCCCCGCCTTGGTTACCACATGATCTTGTCAACAGAGTATCGAACACATGTTATAGATAACACCTGAACTTTCAGTTTGCACACTCACAGAGTCCTTCTCTTGTTCAATGACAATCCTTTTTAATTTCTAGCTGTTTGTGCCATACTGTAGGAAATCACAATTCGTAATGCATCTCGGAACCCGCCACTACTTGAACGGCATAGGGACGTGCAATCAATCGAAAACTACAATTTAAACCAATCCAAATCTTATATTATACAAATCCGATATCTTGCGGCTCTCTTTCAGTGTTCATATGGTACCCAGGTCATGTTCTACACTCCCGGTTTGCCATGACTATGGTCACAGTTACCCCTGGAGTTGCACGAAAATGAATTATGTTCACAGGATATTGCGACACTTATCGGCAGGGCTTTGAATCTGTTCGGTCCAAGTATTTACGTTGCCATTAAAACTTCAGGTGACGGCAACTGCAGATATGCCTATGGTTTTCGGAGCCCGTATGCACAAAGCGATAGGACGGTGGAGTTGTATAGATCTAGATCTCTCCCAACCACGTCGTTGCAGCGTCAAAGAATACTTGGTAGAGAACCTTGTGCAAGCCAGCATTCCATGACATTCTAATAAAAACACAGAAATATTGAACCACGGAAATAGGCTTATTCCGGAAGTATCAATAGCGAGCGTGTGGTCACGAGCTCCCCGCGCTTTCAGCTCGGGGGAGGAACGGGTCAAAAGCGCGGCCTGAGAGGAAAACATCTTTGCCGAGTTAAAGAGTAAACTGGCTGTTTGATGCTCAAGTTTGTTGCGGTCAACTTCACAGAGGCATGAAACTTTTGTCTATCTTTCCTTGTGATACATGCTGACACCTACACGGAACCAACAAGACAGCCCGAAACAAGCTTCACACGAGAGAGGTATTCTTCAATATGGTGTTTTCATACCATCAATATGGCGTCATTGAAAGATCTAATGCCTCTCTGTAGATGGTGTACTTCGCAACACAACTCAACTGACGCACGGGAAACTGATCAAGCCAGTACTCGAACATATTGACTTCCCCTAAAGGTGTATGAAAGTGATGTTCCAAGCGTTTGGGGACAATAGGCAGCTTGGACCAAATACCATGCGTAGGACAACGGCAAAGACGACTCACTCGGATATCTTTCTCCATAGGCATCCCCAATCACAGTCTTCGCCAACTCTCACGGGTCATTTAACCGCTCTAGACCAAGTTTCAATTCTCATCGCGCCGATGGAAAAGAATTGGGTACATCAGAGGGCGATGCGATCTAGTATCGAAGTGTAAAACCCGTACGCCTCAGTCTCGAGGAAGTGCCGAGGGTCTTGCGTCGTACATTCTGCAACATGGTGTGATATCTGTTGGATACTCTCGATAGTATGCGCAGTTGTGAAATTTAATATACTGTCTCGTCTCTGGAAGGTGGGCAAGCTGCATCCTCAACACGGGGCCTTGGCCACTTAAATATTTACGAATGCCGAGACCTGCGAAGGGGCTCATCATCTAGAGAAAAAGCTCTTGAGCCCTGCCTTTCTTTACTTACTTGTTTCAAGAAGCTGTATGCAAAAATTCGCGGATTACATCAAGAGGCGCCTGGAGTGACGGATGGGAATGTTACGTGACCAGTTAGGTAGAGGAGAGATAGACTTGTTCACCCGGGGAAGTAGCGTTTGCCCTGATGATGTTCAGTTCCTCGTTGACCGAACGCGACTTTGGATGGCCCTGAATTGCATGGATGGAGATGTGCATCCGGAAATTACCAATCTAAACCTGCCTTAGGTTTTCTAGCCGGCTTTTTGGGATTGAAAATTGAGAAATCTGCAAAGCTGAAAAACACGAAAGATTCAGACGTGACAGCGTCTTGCCAAGATGCAAAACAACCATCGAACAGGGAAGAGAACAGCTTCGCGGCTGCTTGCATGCTTCGTCCTTCAATTATCCAAGACTGGGTCGCCTCGGAAGACCGGACGGCTAGGTTCCCCACTCTCATTGGACCGGCGCCGATCCGGATGGAACCGTGAGGCCGAACCCCCGGGAGCTCCGGGATTTGGGAGTCCCCTGTCAGACCCCACCATAGCTCCGCCAGTGTACCTATTTCAACATTGAAAGATGCAGTATCGTGAATGTCTCACTACGGATATATATATATGCAGCATGATAAGCGACCCTCTCATCCCGAATACTATGCAATAAATGAGCGGACTGATCAATGCAGCAGCAGAAAGATATGACTGTGCTTGCCACTATCAACCGCAGATTCGAGGTCTCAAGTTCATAATGAACAGCATCCATAACAATGCCAAGTGACCCGGAAGTAGTTCTTACAGGACTCCATTCGCAATATCCCACAGAGGCGATGGTGGAAGCCGCATCAAATTCACCTTCGCTGGCACTTAAGACTAATGGACTATTCTAGGGAATATGCTTGAACGTGCCTGCACCGAGTTCAAAACAAATGTGTCGAGCACTCAGCAATTAGAATATGCCAGAGAGGCGATGATAAGTTGCATGTGAAGCAACCGCCAACAAGGGTGTGCATTACGCGCCTTCTGATTGGCTGTGGGTAAGGAGCTTCCAGGCCTAAAGTGCGAGGCTGCGATCTTTTCCTCATAGCCTTGCGGCGCCCAGTTTTACTTCCTACAACTCACCTGCCCGATCACCCATTAATTTCTTACGCAAAGAGACTGCGACTTGCGAGACGTCCCGCCGGATCTTTGCGACCGCTAGACTTACGAAATCGAACGACCGAAACCCGACCTACAAAGCAACACAAGGATCGAGGCCTCCGATCGACGTCATCCATCATGGCCGACTCCGATGGCGAGTACCATGACATGTCTGATGATGACTTGCAGGTGACCAACGGGAGAGGCGGCGATGCGAGAAAAGGTGGAAAGAAGGGAAAGAGCGGCAACTCAAAGGCGCGATGGGAGGAGGTCAAGCGAAGTTGGGAGCAAGTCACAGAGGGCGCCGACGGCAGTCTCGCGGTCGGGGCAAGTTTGGAGGCCGAGAAGAGGAGGAGGCTGCTAAGAGACACAACGCCACTACAGCGCGGCATTATCAGGCATCTGGTGCTGGTTCTAGACATGTCATTCGCCATGACCGAGAAGGACATGCTACCGAACCGCTATCGTGTAGCCTGGGCGTACGCGGCCGACTTCGTGAAGGAGTACTTTGAACAGAACCCAATCTCGCAGCTGGGCATCGTCGGCATGCGGGACGGCGTGGCGCTTCGAATCAGCGAGATGAGCGGCAATCCGACAGACCACCTGGAGAAGCTGAAGGAGTTCGAGGGCCAAGATCCGTCAGGCAACCCAAGTTTGCAGAATGCGCTCGAGATGTGTCGCGGTGCACTTTTGTACGTGACAACGCCCCTCGCCTGAGCTCTACAGACACATACTGACTTTGACCCGACAGTCACGCGCCCTCCCATGGCACACGAGAAGTCCTCATCGTGTTCGGCGCCCTCCTCTCCTCCGACCCGGGCGACATCCATACCACAATAGACTCCCTCATAGCCGATAAAATCCGCGTAACCATCGTCGGCCTCGCGGCGCAGGTCGCCATCTGCGGAGAGCTATGCACCCGCACCAACGCCGGCGACGACACGCAGTACAGCGTCTGCATGAACGATGCCCACTTCCGCGATCTCCTCCTCGCCGCCACGACCCCGCCCGTCACCCGGACGGCCGCCCAGAGCACCGCCTCCCTGCTCATGATGGGCTTCCCTTCTCGCACCCTCGCGCAGGGCGAGACGACAGCCGTATGCGCCTGCCATAACAAACCCGCACGCGAAGGCTACCTTTGCACGCGCTGCGCTACCCGCGTGTGTCGTCTGCCCATCGAGTGTCCCGCCTGTAGTTTGACACTCATCCTTTCCACCCATCTCGCGCGCTCATACCACCATCTCTTCCCGTTACGGAATTGGATTGAGGTCCCCTGGGCCGCAGCCGCCAAGTCAAAAGCATGCTACTCGTGCCTTACCAATTTCCTGGAACCGCCCAAGGCCTCCAAGAAGAAGGACAAGACTAAGAACCAAGATGGCGTGGCTACGACCACAGGGCCAGTCGCCCCGACCCCCGTGAAGGCTGCAGAGCTCAAGGGGGTCAGCGAAAGCGGACGGTATGCCTGCACGGTGTGCGATAATCACTTTTGCATTGACTGCGACGTCTACGCACATGAGGTCATTCATAACTGCCCTGGATGCCAAAGTGACACTCGTGGGGCAGCAATGGAGGCGATTAACGAGACGAATGGGACGCATGAGCATCAAACGAATGGAACGGCCATGGTGGTGGACTCATGACATTAACATATACATGGGAAACAGCATGTAGGATGGGGGATCCTCGAGGGGACGTGGAGTGCTTATGGTAGGGGAGACAGAGAGACAGAGCAGCGCTCTGGCCAGAGTTGGCCAACATTCGGCAGTTTGCATTTGGACAAACGGATGGCAGCATCAACGGAGCACAGGATTGGGAGAAAAGAGGATATCGGCGCAAGGGGTCCGGCCATGGACCATGTTTATAAATATACCTATGGTACCCCCTGCAGAACCCCCTCAAGATGAAGTTGGCTGGCCGAGAGATGAACATCATAGCCCCACGTCTGCTGCAGTCACGAGTGCTGATATGAATAAAAGTGACACTGAAATGGGGTTTAACTTGATTTAACTAGCTTTTTCTGCTTTAGAGGTTTCCACGCTCGGCCTGCTCGCGCTCGATAGCCTCGAACAAGCTCTTGAAGTTACCGGCACCGAAACCCTCAAAGTGGTTGCGCTGGATAATCTCAATAAAGACAGTGGGACGGTCCATGAGCGGCTTAGTGAAGAGCTGAAGCAAGTATCCCTGCTCATCGTAGTCGATGAGAATGTTGAGCGCCTCAATGGTGGCGAGGTCCTCCTTGAGCTCCCAGTTGCGCTTCTCCGTCTTGAGGCGGTGGCGCATGGTGTCGTAGTAGGTCGAGGGGACGTTGATGAACTCGACACCGCGGGCGCGCATGGCCGACACGGTGGTGATGATGTCCTGTGTCAGGAGGGCAATGTGCTGGACGCCGGCGCCCGAGTTGAAGACGACGTACTCCTCGATCTGGGACTTCTTCTTGCCGGGCGCGGGCTCGTTAATGGGCATCTTGACCATGTTGTTGGCCGAGGCCATGACAATGGAGTTGAGGGCCGAGAACTCTGTGCAGATTTGCGAGTCGTCGACAGACCAGAAGCGGTGGAAGGACAGGCACTGCTCGTAAAAGGCGCAAGCCGACACCATTTCATTCCAAGACTGGTTGCCGACGCAGTGGTCGATCCGGGCCAGGGGCACGTTGGGGAGCGTGACGGTGGCCGTAGTGGGCTTTGCGGCGCGGAAGCCCGGGAGGAAAGGGCCCGAGTATCCGTTGCGGGAGATGAGCGTGTGTGTGGTGTCGCCGTAGGTGCGGATGACGGCGGTCAGGACGTTGCCGTGCTCCTTGTCCTTGAGGACGGTGGGAGGCTGAACGGCATCGGCGCCCTCCGAGACGGCCTTGTTGTATACGCCCTCGACATTGTCGACCTCAAAGGCGACATCCTTTACGGCGTCGCCGTGCTTCTCGAGGTGAGCGTGAATCTCGCGCAGGAGCTCTCGCTCCGCGTCTGAGATGGGCTCATCCTCGGGGAGGTGCGCCAGGGATCGCACCGGGGAGGTGAAGACGAAACGGACGTCATTGTTGGCGACGGCGTATGAGGCGATATACCTGCTGCCCGTTTCGAGGCCCTTGTATGCTACGGTTTTGAATCCGAAGAGAGTAGTGTAGTAAGCAGCGGCCTGCTTGGCGTTGCCAACCCACCAGGTTACGTGATCGTAGCCCTGGAAGTTGGGCGGCGGATGCTGTACTGCGAGTCCATCGCCGAGATCTGTTGATGCCGGGTAGGCGGCTTGCTGTGGCGGGGAGTCTGTGATAGCAGAAGGGGACATTGACACTCAGAAGTTTTCGTGGGTGACAGGACTAGGGTCAAGGAGGTATGGGCGTGTATAAGTGCGTTGGGATTCTCTGATAAGAGGCAAACAGAGTTGATGGTTAATCTAGTGAGATTGTAGACGTTGCTCGTTGAGGAAAAGGGGGGGGAATTGTCTGTGTTATGTACGTCGTACCGTCCATTCTATATGTACCAAGAAACTGACACTGTTTTATCAGATATGAACCTTATTCAACGACGGACTTCCGCCTTTGGAGGACAAGGACTTGAGTAATCCTGCATTCCACGCCCGCAGATTGGTGGCTCCCCGTCGCCGCATCTAACGCTTGCCACTGGCTGACCTTCCCTCCCGGGCGGGGGTGGTCTCTAGATCCTGCCTCTGTCCACAGTCCTTGCGCATAGGCGATTCGTGACGGGACGGGCGCCATCCTGTAATGGCTTCGATACCTGGCAGTAGCGTCCCGAAGTAGAAGGAGAGGTTGGCAGCGGTAAAGCGTAGAGCCGGCGGTACAGCGTTGAGGTGAGATGCCAATCGCAAGCGGAAAGGCGCCGGCCGAGTGTGATGGCCGCGGTGAGCCGCGATAAGCCGCCGCTGGCCGGCCCATGTGCGGCGCGGCTTTGACGGGTTCCCCACCATGCTTCGGATGCTCCAGGCTATGCCCGCCATCCCGCGCAGTACCTCCAAGATCCAACCTGGGATACAAAGAACAGGAGGGCACAGGCGACTAAGCCGCTGTTTCCGTTCATCCTGGGGAACGTCTGGGCTCTCTGCTTGTGGGATGGGTGGGGTACCCACCATGACAGCATGTGCCTTATCTCATCGCCTCTGAAACCCTTTCGTAGCCGTCGCAGTGCGGAATGTAAGCATCTGCTGCTCGGCCCCCCGCTGGAGCCGCTCGGAAAGTGTTGCGTCTGATAAAGGTTGCCGTGCTGCCAGCCAGTCCTGGCGGGGGAAGTCACTTTTGAGATCGGAAAAACGTGCGGTCGGTCAATCGTCACGTATCGAAAAAAGTTCGATTGATCTCGAATCTGTTCCTTCGACAAAGAACATCAGTATTCTTCCCAAAACCGTTCAATCCCCAACCCAACACTGCAAGATGGCTTCCGTGGACCTGACTCGACGAGACGTAAACGTACTTGACAAGATCAAGGACCCCGAATCCGACCCCTCGGCGAACGTCCTCCTCGACTCATCCCTGCCCCGGGATCCTCACATCGCTGATGCCGCCGTCTACGAGCGAGTGATACAGAAGGAGCGCGAGATTATTCTATCCATGCAACAGCTCGAACTTCAATTGGCAGGACTGCGGCCGAGAACTGTATCTGAACCGGTGCAAGAGTACAAAGGACTTCTCTCGAAGCTGGACGACTTCATCGAAGAGTATCCCAACTATGCCAGCGCGAGGAACAACCGCGTACAGGCGCTGAGGCGGCTGT